TATGTGGAAAATAATGTGTTTTTTGAACCTTAAACCGCATAAACACATTTCATTACACCAAATACACAAAATAATGTTCTTTTTAGCAGCATCATATGACCCCTTTAAGGTGTCCTTGTTACACGTTACATGCACTTACTATTATAATAACAATTAAATATGCATAATTACATGCAAGTAACCAGTGGCGTAGCGAATCTGCCCCGGGCCCATAAAAATTTGTATGGGCCCCCCCAAACGTTATGGGCTCCAACTTGGTTAACTTGTCTTAGGCCCTATTGTTGATTTTTTTGAAGTAAATAACGTTATGTGAATCGTGACTATTCACAAGCTGTTTTATTTACGGTATAGTCTAATACTTGGAAATGATGTTTAAAGTTTTCAAGTCCATTCATTATTTGTAACACGCAAGCCACTCAATAATTGCAGCTTTGTGCTTTGTTACTACAAAATCTCAGCCTTCTGTCAATTCTATGATAAAATATAAACAATAAAGGTGTTTTTACGCTTTTTAATTTGTAGTGAGATAATTCGCCTTTATTATATTTAAAAATTATATTTTCCTCTTTAATATTTGCAGCACGAAATAAACATGAATATTTTAATGCATGTTGAAAAAAATCAGAACAATTGAATATAAACGAATGTCATGAATCGATCAATCAGAGTTTTAAAATAAGTCAAAAGAATGACGGATGCCACAAACTTTTTTGTTTTTTTAGAGGAGTAGGTCTATAGGTGGAATTTTCACATTAACTTCACGCAATATAACATGATTTTATTATCGTAATTTTGACTTTATTCTTCAAATATTATGACGTTAATCTTATTTAGTTATTTTTCAACATGGAACAAAAATGCTGCCATATAGGCTACTGAATGCAAACACAATTTTGGCACAGCGGCCCAAAAAAAAAACAAACAAAAAATAAATAAAAAACAAACAAAAAAAGTGAGGGGATATTTGAATTTGTTAATAAACTAATGTTTTCTGAGTCAATGTTGCAAAAATGAATTTGACGAACCTGACCCGCCATCTCCTCACTGGACGTGCTTTTAGAGAGAAATGCATCTTTACGGATTACATAATGAAAGAGTTTTTGTTTTCGATTTGAATTATTTCATTTTAAAATAGTAATTCAAAGCATTCTATAGATATATTTATCATGTCAGTGAAGCGCTCCTGCTCAAGACCAAGAGGACAGAAAGCGCATCCTGTTTGTTTTCCTTATTTTACAAAAGCACAAGGTTTTGTTTATATTGTGATTGCACACAAATACAAGTAGGCCCTTTGCAGTTCCGAATGATGTATACTCTTACCTTTATGAGCAAACATGACGGCGTATTTTTAAGTTTCCACTGTTATTAAAAAAATGCAAGTGATCGTGCTGGCGCCTCCATGTCCTGCAAAGCACGCTTTAGCTTCCACTCTCCACACAAACGATTGGATATGCGCCTAACAGCGCTCATTTATCTAGGTTAAATGTTTAAATTAATACTGTGAAATGCATGAAGTGTTTTATGTCTGTTATTTAAGGCAAGTCGTGTTGGTTTGAGAAGGCTAACTTGATCAAACATAATGCTCAACTCACTGTCTGCAACTGCTGCTTGATCATTCCTTTAAAAAACAAAAACTTGAATTTAACAAACATAAAATGTTCCAAACATATTTCTAAATTAACTTAATAAAGAA